AGCCCCTGGGTTACCCTCGGTGAAGGGGAAAGGGGGCCTTGTTTTGGGGAGCCTGACAAGAAGGGGCCAGGGTGTACATTGCCCCCCCAGAGGAAGGTGCGTGGGGGACCATGATGAGCAGCTCTTGGCCACATCCCCAGTGAGGAGGCTGCGATGGGCGGCCCCACAGACACACCTTGTCCTCCCAAAAAAAGTACTGGATGAGCCTCTAGGTCAGGAGCCCCTCACCAGCCCAGGCACTGGGGGGGTTCTCACTGTGGGGAGCCCCTCAGCCCCTGTCTCCACACAAAGTGAGGGCAGCAGAGCCTGGTGATGGGGGTCTTCTGTCCTAGGAGGCTGGCGTGGAGCCCCCAGGTCTATCCTCTCTCCCCAAGACAGACAGGGGCTGTGTGAGGCTGGGCCAGGCCGTGCTGGCAGGGCACCGGGGACGGACGGTGCTGAACATATTTTGTGGATAAAAATAGAGCTTTGGTGTTCAGAGCCAGCTGTCACTCGCCCCGCTATCCAGTACAGAGACGTTCCTGCAGAGGTTCTGCCCTCCAGTTCCTCAGGATGCTTTCTCTCCTTTGCCCTCGCTGGGTTGTCAAATTTGCTGTCCCCGAATTTGTCCCTTTATCCCAGGGTACATCCCTAGGACAGCCATCGGTGTGCCGAGGTTGTAGCTCACAGAGAAGTGGGCTCATTTATATCAGTCCAGGTGACAGCTGTGGCATGGACAGACCTGTAGGATCCTGAATACCGGGGCGAAACTCCAGAACAGCTTTGCTTTCCCCTGTGCTTTGATTTCTCTTGTCTTTCAATTTCCTCCCCCAGATCTTTCTTCCATCACTGACTCACTCTTCCTCTGACCAACCCTCGTATTCTGCTGCCACTAAAGCTCAGGGCATTGTTGGTCCATCTGTTGTTGCACTTAATTGGATTTTCATTTAAATGCTATTTGCCTGAGTTATTTACGGAGGGGGAGAGAAGTGCAATAGCGCATCTGTTTTTAGAAGTAGTTACACTTGTCTTTACAAAACAGATTTATGTTCTAGATTAGCGAGTGACTCCCCCTCCCCATTCCCCTTCTTCCTCAGGAAGGGCGCCTTTGGTAAAGACTCTTTCCAGGGGTAATCTGTTTCAGACAAAAATACATGAACTGCAAATTGTTTTCCCTGATGGTTACAGTGATTTGAGCTGGTTGGAGCCTGATCGTGGCTTTCAGGTTGGACCAACCCAATGGGATGTGTAGTATTGGGAAGTCTTGAATAACTGACTGTGTTTTTAATCGTTGTCTTTTCTTCTTCCTTTCAGACAGTGTTTGTTGGAAAGAACAAGCTGCAGAAAGATCCGCTGCGCTCCTTCCGCTGGCAGGGCTTCAAGCTGGAAGAATATCTCATCGGCCAACCCATCGGGAAGGGCTGCAGTGCCGCGGTGTATGAAGCAGCCATTCCTTTCTCCCAGGAACGTGCGGAGAGCGGCCGCCTCGCAGGGCAGGGGCCAGCCGTGCAGCGGGACCGTGGCTCAGCTTCACAGGCGGCTGAAGAGGAGCCCGGAGAGAAGCACCGACCCAAAGAGGCTTTTCCATTAGCTATCAAAATGATGTGGAACATTTCGGTAAGGAGTTGGTTCTTCATCTCCTTGTCTGTCACTTGGAAAGTCTGGCTGAAGTGTTTAACACTTAATGTTGAAAGCACTGATTATACAGCGCGCGATGAGCGTGTCAAAACAAAGCTGTTGGTACGTGACATTGGAGATGTTGATTGTTAGTGAGCAGTCCCAGAGCAAGGTATTTAGCGCTCATCGTTCCTCCAGAATCGGCGTGGAGAGCTGCTGGTGGTGGAGCTGGTGGTTACAGAGGTGATGTTTTCAGAGGAAAAACTTTACCAAAGCTGGCTGTAGTGACACAGTGTAAGGATGGGAAAGCCACTGCTGCCAGAGCTTTAGGAATCGGTGTCCTTGTTGGTGTCAGGTCAGAAATAGTTTTTATCCTTCAAAGTGCAGCTGAGGTGTGTTTCCATGCTCACAGAGATGGCAGTAACCTGCGTGCTGGGTCCACTTGCCATGAAGTGATTGCACGAGACCTGTGCTAGTGTTTCCCAACCCAGGTGACTCCGATGATCCCCCCTCTCTGTGGCTCTGCCACATTTAAAAAAATCCACTGGACTTTTCCCACTGAAGAGGGTTTGTGGCACTTGATGTGACAAGGGGGTATTCTAAAAGAGTCTTCCAAAATGCCAACATCTGAAATCCCTTGGGCTCCAGAAATACCCTGGCATTTAGCTGTGGGCTTTCCCAGTCAGGTTTTAAGATTGAAAATGAGTGTTAACGTTTAGCTCAGAGTGCTAACGGTCAAAGATGCATTTGAAGAAACAGATGTATGTATTTCTGCGAGTAAAGGCCTTGCTATGTCCCTTGGTAAATCGTTTAAGTAGTTAATTGCCTTCCTGGATTTTCAAAGTAGAGAAGAGAATTGCTTTGATCTAGTCTCAGTCAAACGAACTTCAGATACAGAGCTCGCTTTGGGATTATCTGCTTTTAGTCTGTATTGAGGCTGGACAATTTTGGGGCTTAAATCACTGTGGTGTGTAATTGCTGTTGCAGGCCGGTTCGTCAAGTGAAGCCATCCTGGATGCTATGGGCCGAGAGCTCATTCCAGCCACAGGGGCTGCCTTAGCTGGTGAATATGGAGCCGTCTCTGGCCGCAGGTACAGTCACTACGGAAATGGCAGTGATTCTTAAGTGGTGACACACTAATTTTATCCATCAATTAATTTTGCAGCACGTCTGTATGGTTAAATAGATGGCCAGAGGTTTCTGTAATAGCTCCTGAAAGCAGATAAACCAAATCTGCTTATTAATGGCTCAGGAGGCATCCACATGTGTTTTATCTGAACAACGGTGCCTTCAGAAGTGCCACCCACCTCAAACCTTGCACAGGGACGTGCTGCTGGCTGCCTTGGGTGTTTTTCTCCATCATGGTTTTCTCCAGCACAGTCAAGAAACCGCACAGCAGTACCACTGTTCAAGCAGTGGTTTAACACAGTCTTGTTTTCTGAGGAGCAGACTGTGTCACGGCTGGTTGTTGTGCAGCGAATGCCTACAGCTGAAGTATGTCAGGTTGGGTGGCATAGTCTGGAAGAGTGTCAAAAGGGTGTGCCAATAGTGGAGGTCCTGCCAGCGGTTTGATGGGTGACTGTGCCCCCTGCCTCAGTTTTCTTATGTGTAAAATCCTTTGATATATGCAGATATTGTTAAAGGCTGGGAGGGGCTACTTCTGATTAAAAATAATTTAAATAAGCGTCACGGTGCTTTTTAAGTACAAAAAGAAGCGCCTCCAATGAGTAACGATTTGACTGGATTAGACATCAAACAATTGGACTGTAGTCTTTTAGAACTGGTTTGGTTGTAAAATGGGTGCGAGGCAGGGAGATGGAAACTGCTTTAGTGCAGGGAAACTGGTGAGAAAGGACATGGAAAATGACTCAGTCCCCGCTCCTTCACCCAAGTGAGAAGTGAGCAAGCAGCACGAAGGTGGCGAACTGCATGGAAACTTCTAAATTGCTCAAGAGAGTTAGCTTTTTTTTTTGTTCAAAAATGCATCTTTTTGTTCGATTGGAAACAATGGAGTCCGCAGTCCAGATTTAAATTTCAAATACATCTCTGCTGCCCGTACAAATGAATAATGAATGCTGCGTGGTACGTCCCTGGCTGGGAGCGCAGTGGAGCAGCCAAAGGGATATTTGGCATTCAGGGCATGAGAGGGGAGAGCTCTGTTTTGCAGACGGGGATAGGTAATTTGCCTTTCACTGTAGTGAGTACTTCCTGTCTGTGCCATAAAATAGAGGGTCTGAATTGATATGCCCAGTGTGAAGCTAACCTTTATTTTATGCATAACAAAGAAATTGTGTTTGGTTGGGTTTTTTTCTAAAGCTGCTGTTGTAGGTTTTTTGAACTGAGAAGCAGCCTGTGACTAGTTCTGCCTTTGTTAGCAGCACGGAAAGGCTAGTAGTGTCTGAAATAAAATTAAATGCTGCATGTTAAGCATAAGGGTTTCCAGCAAAGGTTGGTTTGCAGCACAGGTAAAGCACCAGTATTCCCTGTTTAACCACTGTACGTAGGGAAACGTGGCCACAGCAGAGTCCTGCTAACAGCCACAGGGGACATCTTGCTCTGTGCACCCTGCATGGGTGCATCAGCGGACAGTGCTGCCCTGATGGTGATGGTTCAGTTTGCTGTGGGAAATGCTGGGGTAGATTTTGAATTCCAGAGCAAGTGCTGGGACCTGCACCCTGCTATGGTGGACGCTTTGCATCAGTGCAGGACACGCTGGGCTGAGGCACTGGTTAGGAGATTGTGAGGGCTGGGAGGTTGCTGTCCCTGTTCTTTCTGACTGAATGGTTTCCAGGATGTGAACATTTTGAGTATTTGCTTAATGTGCAGTCCTGTAATCTATGCTCAGCAGCCTTAATGCTCTCTGTTTTCACTGCAGAATAAATGTTTTTGCACACTGCTTTGAAACTCTTTGGTGGGGAGAATGAGCTGTATTAATGAAAAGTATTTCCAGAAATGAGAGAGATGAGTCTATGACAAACCAGAACTGTCCAGGAGATCAGTGTAATTTGTGGTATTTATGCTCTTGCACAGAAAACCTGTCCTTGGGAGGAAGAAGTTGCAACCTCATCCGAATATAATCCAGGTGATCCGAGCATTCACGTCTTCTGTCCCTTTGCTGCCTGGAGCCTTTGCAGACTATCCCGATGTTCTTCCTTTGAGCCTGAATCCCAGAGGAATCGGTCACAGCCGCACGCTCTTCTTGGTGATGAAGAAGTAGGTAACGAGAAGCTTGTTAACACAGCTCGGGCTTTTCAGGAGCTTGCCCAGCGGGGCTGTATGTGCTGCGGCTACACAGGTCCTCACAAAGATTGGCCTGGGCTGCTGCCAAAATGCAGAGTACGCTCCTGGAAACACCTCCTAAGACCTGTTCCAAGTCCTTGAGATTTTAACTGTAGCTCAACAATGAAGACAAGCTGTTCTTTTTAGTAATTGCCCCAAATTAAAGTATGAAAACCTGGAGCTTGTCCCCATTTGTCTGCCCTTCTACGTCTGAACTTTACCTCTATTCTGAACACGCCACTAGAGATAGAGTAGAATCAGTAATAAGATTTGATAGTGCTCGGCATTTCTGGCAGTCCCCATTGGTTTTGGTTTTGAATGAATATTGACACAAGAGCACCTCCTATTTCCCACTCTCCTGTTCTGCCTGCATCTGCAGAAGTGCTCTGTCCTCTCTGTATTTCAAGAACATCTTGTTTCTCCTGATCTGCAGATCGTACAATCTGCATTATTAGTCTGCCTCCTCTATCATGCAAAGTATAACACCGAACCATAAAAACCTGTAAGGATGATCACCGTATAGCTGGAGCCCCTCGCTGTGCTGTTTGAGAGGCTTTGTTTATTTGCAGATGTTGAACTTGGGCGAGAGTGCTGCAAATTCCATAGTGCGTGTTGTTGCAAAACAGAGGATTTGAGAACAGCAGACAGGGAAGCAGTGTCAGGTTGAGGCTGGGAGGTGGGAAGAAGGTCAGGAAGAATTTGGCACATACGAGCGTGCTATATCCCCAGCCGGACAGCACTGAGGTTGAACCACAAGCGATAACCTTCCAGGATGCTAATTCAATATTTTTCCTTGTTCTTACTAGTTATCCGTGCACGCTGCGCCAGTACCTGAGGGAGAGCAGTCCTGACATTCATCTCTCCACGATGATGATTTTACAGCTCTTGGAAGGCGTGGACCATCTTGTTCGACATGGAATAGCGCACAGAGACCTGAAGTCTGACAACATCCTGGTTGAATTTGATTCTGGTATGTAGCTCACTGAGCGTGAGTGCCAACTAAGTCATGCACAGAAGTGATGCAGTTGTGTAGGTGTTCGGGGAAGTCCTACCCAGGTGTGCCTTTGAGGGAAAACCGAGCATCAAACATTTTGAAGAGTCTCAGGTTTAGTTTTAGCATGCCGCTTGCTGTCACTGCAGCACTGGGGAAGTAATTTATCCTGTCTGTGCCTCAGGTTTTAAAACGGCCTTGAAAGGAGTGCTGTAATGTAATCAGATGGAGAGACGCAGAGTATTGCTAAGGTGATGCTTCTCACGAGCCCAGCGAATGTCAGCTGGAGCAGAAGGGCCTACAGTGACACCACATTAATTATGTTGGAGGTGCCCAGGTTTCAGGTTCTGGACTGTGTCATCTCTTGCCAGCCACGTAGCACAGGGCAGTTCTTAAAATCCCACATCATGGTCAGATGAAAAGCGCTGCACCCTGGGATGGTGAAGCATGGATTGGAAGGCAAGGGAACTGACAGTGTTAAAGCCAAAAGCAGCGTTTTTGTTCTCCTGTCAGCCTCTCTAACTGAGATTTTAGTTACATAAGCTCTTTTTCAGTGTGATTGAGATTCAGATGGGCAGGAAACAAAGGCAGCCAGGTCTGTGTAGGTCAGCCTCTCTAACTGAGATTTTAGTTACATGAGCTCTTTTTCAGTGTGATTGAGATTCGGATGGGCAGGAAACAGTAGCAAGCAGCCAGATCTGTGTAATTAAAGGTGTTGGTACAGCAGCTGTGGAAGGTTTTCAGCAATACTAATGCCATCCTTCTTTTCTTGAAGGAAAAGCTGCTATCCTGAATGCGGTTAGGAATGATCTGAACCATTGATTTTTCCATATCGGAGTCTGGATATGTAATGATTCTATTCTACTAATGCCATCCTTCTTTTCTTGAAGGAAAGGCTGCTATCCCGAATGCGGTTAGGAATGATCTAAACCTTTGATTTTTCCATATCGGAGTGGAGATGTAATGATTCTATTTTGCAACGTTTGACTTGTCCTCAGGACAAGGACTGTTAACTAATACAAAGTTTCTCCAGACTTTCACTATAGCTAAGTATGTATCTGTATGTTGATAGCTTTTGCTATAGATAAAAGGAAAAAAAAGAATATATTCCTCCATCACGGGTGAGTCTGTAACCTTACGTCTTCATTTTAATGGTATCTGCAACATTTTATCAGCTGCTTCCATGGGAAGCAGTAATATCTTCCTCCATCACGGGTGAGTCTGTAACCTTACATGTCTTCATTTTAGTGGTATCTGCAACATTTTATCAGCTGCTCTAAAGAGGAAATGGAAGAACAAGTTTTGTTTTAATAAAACCAGTAATTCACCTAATAATACAGAGGCGAAGCAGGAAAGAAGTGTGTGATTGTGCTGATTCCTGCAGGTATTGAGGTGGATCCAGAAGACCATCTCTGATGTCCTTGTGGTATCTAATAGAGCCAGGCTTTCCCAAACCGAACGCTAACTCTGCTGGCCCTGTGTCGTTTGCAGCTGGCTGCCCCTGGCTGGTGATCACGGACTTCGGTTGCTGCTTGGCAGATGAAAACATTGGCTTGCAACTGCCTTTCACCAGCCCTTATGTGGATCGGGGTGGCAATGGCTGTCTTATGGCACCCGAGGTAAATCCCCCTGGAGTAACAGATTGTGGTGTTGGTTGTTTGCTTGTCCATGTCCTACCCTGAGTTACGCTTGTTAAACATCTCTGTGTTAAAAAAGTCCGCTTTGGCCCTGTGCTGAGCAGTTGTCACATGGACACCTTGAGCACTAAAAGGTGAAGCGTAATCAGTTGGTGTTAGGGGGCAGAATTGTCCTTTCCCACAGAACACTTCTCTTCAGTCTTTTCTTGGAATATTTACTCCAGAGATTTAGACAAAACCTTGCTTTGATTTCAGTCTCTCTGTTTATTTGTCCTGGAAATACTGACCTGACCCTTGAAAATTAGTTTTAGCACAGAGCCCACACTAGAGGTGTTCATTTGAACATCCCCATCTCTCTGACAGGTGATCACAGCGTCACCTGGTCCGGGCATGGTGATCAACTACAGTAAAGCCGACGCTTGGGCTGTTGGAGCAATTGCCTATGAAATCCTTGGCCTGCCCAATCCTTTCTATGGCCACGGGGGCGCAGCTCTGGAAAGCAGAAGTTACTGTGAAGACCAGCTGCCGAGCCTGCCCCATCACGTGCCCCTTGAGGTGAAGCAAGTGATAAAGATGCTGCTTCAGAGGGATCCCAACAAGGTGAGAAACCCTTGTCTTGGAGAGGTCATCTATCCAGGCTTTGTAGATCATGTTGCTCTGGACGGCTCAGGACTGTAATCCTGATACCATTGCAGTCCAGATAACAATCAAAGACAAACAAAAGGTCTTTGCTGAAGCACAGCGCGGCCTCTCACTGCGTAGGTTTGGGGATTTCAGCGGATGTTTGTGTCAGAGACTAGACCTTGAATTTGGGGCTTATGTGCAGTTGCCTGATATTAATAGTCACAAAGAGCTTTTTAATTCACAGTGCCTTTGCAGTGTCTTAGAGGAGGCCTGGGGGACTCTTGGCATTGTAGATGCTAGCGATGTGACAGGAGTGCAGCGGGATCAGCTAATCTTCCCTCTCCTTCCTTTCACAGAGGTTGTCTGCTAGAGTGGCTGCTAACGTGCTTCACCTCAGCCTCTGGGGTGAAAGCGTTCTCACATCCAAGACCCTGAAACCTGACCAGATGATCGCCTGGCTTCTCTGCCAGTCTGCAGCTGCCTTGCTGATGGACAGACTGGTGGATAAAAGCCGGGTAGAAACCAAAATGAAGATGTGCTTTTTGGCAAACCTTGAGTATGAAGACCTCTGGGCAGCGATATTCCTGTTGCTGGCCTGGAGAAGCCGGTCTGGGTGAAGAGTATCATCTGGGACACAACCGTGTGATACATAAATGGCACTTTCTAAAGACACATAGGAATCTGGCTTTTCTCTCTGCCTGGAACCCTGTAGTGCTTTAGGGAACAGGACTGCAGGCCGGTGAATAGGTTGAGTTTATCTCTAGCGAGTGTTAGCACGTGCTGCTTTTCTCCCTGCTAGAGGAAATGCCCTTGCTTTGTTGCTCTCTTGGTGAGGGTGTGTGGACCTTGCATGTGTCCTGAGGTACGTGGGTGGTATTGCTCACATTTGGGAATTTGTAATTGACTTCTAAGTTGTGTTGAAGGAAGCAAGTTCGCTTTCAGAAGGATGTCTGGAAGAAGGCACCATCGCTGCTTTTTACACGGAAGCGTCACAGATTTAAACGACACACCGAGCTGACAAAGGGATGTGCACTCTTGTCTTATGGAAACGTGGTTTTCAGATGATAATCCTCTGCAGCCACAGGTGGATCTTGCTATAAAACGACAGCCTGAAAGCCTCCTAGTGAGGTGCTGACTGGGAGCATCAGGAGCCGCTTGCTTCTTATGATAATGCACCATTACAGATCTAGCTGGTTGTATGCAAAATAACACAAGTACAGTGAACCCAAACCCCACATGTGTTTGTTTCTCGACTGTTGTATTTGTGCAGTGACTGCTGCCGCAGGGTCCAAGGCCGAGTCAGACTGTGTCCAGGTAGGGATAATCCTGCAAACGAAAGTGGCTGAGCAGCAGTGCTGGCGTAAGGAGTTCAGTGTGACCCTCTTGTTTTACCTACCTGTTATTTCTGTTGAACAATGAAGTAATATCCTTTGGTCAGGGAGGGTAGGAGGCATCAATGTTTGACCAGCAGAAAACATAGTTCAGTTTCATGTCTGTAACTGTTTAGAGGAACTGGGGGAGAGAGTTGTTTATGCTTGTTGCACAATAAATTGAAGATTAAGCTCTGCTGCTGAGTGGGTTCTCTGAATCTGGTTCATCTCCGTGCACAGGATCCAGACTTTTGGCTGTGGAGCCCTCGGGGGATGCCTTCAAAGATAATGTGGCTCTTTCCAGTGCCATTGCAGGTACATACTGTTTTATTCCAAGTGGAGTTTCCCAAGGCGGGATGGACCTTGCCTCATGTGTGTGCCAGTTTCATACTCTCCTGACCGGTAAACCACTGGCTGCTCCCGCAGTGTCCAGGTCAATGACATCGTGTGTCGAGTGGCTGATGTCCCTGGTCATCACACAGTAAGGTGCTGTCAAGGTCTCGCATGCTGCAACTGTGTCTGGTTCAGCAACAGTGCAAAACTACCTACCAGCAAACAGCCTCGTTTGTTTTGCCTGTGAACACAGCGCACTGCTGGGGCTGTGAAGAGCAGCAGAGCACAGAGACTGGGAAATCACAGAAAATGAGCTCTTTGGGGTAAAAGTTGCAGAAAAAGAACTTTTGCAGGAAAAGATCCAATTGCTACATGAGTAGGGAGCAGAATTAGGTACTGGAGCCATCTGATTTCACGTGTGTCGTTATTAGGCCAACCAGGGTTTGATCTGTGCTGGTTAACCCCAGACATTGGAAACTTGCTTCCCCTGGAAATCATCTCATTTCATCTCTCTGTCCTCAAAAATGGCCTAAAACGCTTGTCCTGCAGCACTGCCTCTGGGTTTTACACCCCTATTATTGCTTCTCATTTGCTTGCATTTTGTCTTGTTTACAGTTCTGCTGAGGGTGGACTTTTTTTTGTTTGCTTTCACTGCCTGCTTTTCATTACTGAGACATTTTTATGAATCTTCACCATTCCACATGCTTTTGTAAAGTGCTGTTTAAAAGTACACGCTGTCAATGGAACAAATGCTGCCTGCCTTTCTGCAGATGCCCAAGGGGAGCAAAACGGGAATGTTTCCCAGCACATCCCCTTCACCCTGCCGTGCTAATCCCTAGGCAGGCTCTTGTGGAAGGTGCTTGAGCTGAAGCCCATGGCTACCGCATTTATTCCTGGTATTTGCTGGGAAGCAGATGGGCTTGTGGAGAAAGGGGGCAGCTGGAAGAGGGAACGCAAGGCTGAGCCAAATCTCTGCAGTGAGGTATCCAGTCGCCCTTTGAACCCTGGGGAGGGCGGAGGGAGGCATGGAGGTGGTGTCTGGCGCTCTGCCTGGCTGCGGCACTCCAGCCAAATGGGACGGCCTCCGCAGTGCCTCTCACTCCATTCGGTGTAGGGCAGAGCCCGTGGGGCAGGATGAGGCGCCTGCTCTGGGCTGGCTGCAGCCAGTTGCTGTCCCGGGAGGCCGGGCTCCGTGCTCACATGCCGGCAGCCACCCCGCACCTCATGGCCCCGGGCTCCACCAGCTGCCTCCAGCTCCTTGCTCGGTGCATCCACAGGGCACATGTCCCCTTGCCGCTGGGGCTCACAGTTCAACGTGCCCCCCAGTGCCCTGTCTGTGGCCCGGCCCGTGGGGATCTGCTCCATGATGAAATTGCCGGTTCAGGCATCGGCAGAAGGACTGGATGCAGCTTTCGTCGGCGTCCCTTTAGATACGGGCACATCCAACCGGCCAGGAGCCAGGTAAGGGCAGGCCACGGTGCCAGGGGAGCCGGTGCTTTGCTCTGTCCATCCAGCATGGCTCACCTCCAGCGTGAGGAGTGCTGAGTGCGTGGTGCCAGCACCAGGAACTCTGCCCTGCAGCTTTCTCTGGCCATGCTCTCTCTCCAGGTTTGGCCCACGGCAGATCCGGGCCGAGTCAGGGATGGTGAGGAGGTACAACGCCAGCACCGGGGCTGCGCCTTTCGACTCCCTGCGGGTGGCTGACATTGGAGACGTGAACGTCAACCTCTACAACCTGCCCGACAGCTGCCGCCTCATCCGAGAGTCCTACCAGAAGATCGTGGCCTCCGGCTGCGTGCCCCTCTCCTTAGGTAAGGACCTGACATCTCCCTGTTGTGCTACCACATCCCTGCTCATCCAAACTCCCTCTCCTCCTGCCCTCCTTCAGTCTGAACACAGTAGTGACTCTGATGTCTGCATGGGATCTTGTGCTAAATGGGTAAATCATGGGTAAATTTACATGTTCTCAGTGGAAATTACTACCACCAGTGATGGTTCTTGTGCCAAAAAATGGGGAGAATGGATCAGCCAAGAGACTGTTTCAGCGCACAGCCTGAAGCTCAACCACAAATCCAATTGGCAGTGTGCTGTCAATGTCCTGCTGAGCAGGACCCAAAGCAAGAGCAGTTTGTGTCCCTCTGAAAAGCTTCAAGCTTGACCAAGTGCCCGGCAGCGTGCTGCTCTGCACGAGGCGTGATTTGGACGTGTGTTCAAGTTTCCAGCAGCTGCAGCTTGGCATCGCTAAACAAATCAAGTGTATATAGTAAGGGGAGGGGCAAATTATCAGTCACTGCGCATTCTCAGAAGTTATTTGAGAGCCTATTTATAACCCTGGTCAAGGATCCTGCTCCATGGGTTGCCCCTGCCAGCAGAGTCCTCCTGTTTTTCTGATAAGGGAAGAGGAAGCAACCTGCACCTGGAAGCCTCAGGTTTTCCTTAGGGAATGAAGCCCTGGGTTGTATAAACAAGTGCAGGATAAATGTAAGGGGTGGGGGAGGAAGTCACCTGGGAATAAACATACTAAGTGCTGTGCACCTCTTGCAGTGTGTTACACCCTCTTCCCTGTCCTGTTGCAGGTGGAGATCACACCATAACATACCCCATCCTGCAAGCTGTGGCAGAAAAGTAAGTTTCTGCCCTGGAGATCTAGAACAAGAACCTGGGAAGGAGCCTTGGTTTGCTGTCCGTGATGTAGGCAGGGCCATGGCGCACGGGACGGGGACTAATGCATCCTCCTTGTCTTGCGTAGGCACGGTGCTGTGGGGCTGGTGCACGTGGATGCTCACACCGACACCGGAGACAGGGCCCTGGGGGAGAAGATCTACCACGGGACGCCGTTCCGGCGCTGCGTGGAGGAAGGGCTGCTGGACTGCAGCCGCGTGGTCCAGATCGGCATCCGAGGCTCCTCCTACGACCCCGATCCTTACAAATACTGCCGGGACCAGGTGAGCGCTTCTTTCTGCCAATATTCCCATGTCATTCATAATCCATTAGATTCAGCAG